TTGTACCACCTCCCCTCGGACGCAGGACCCTTCTTTAAAACCGATTTTTGCAGCAGCAGCAGCGAGGTTCCAGGGGAAGGCGAGCCGTGAGACAGGTCTATTCGCTAGAACTTTATACAACCAGCTCGATACTATTTTTTTTTTTTTCTTTCCTCCCTCTTCAGGCAAATTTTGGAAGACCACAACAAACGCCAGCTGACAGAGCGAAATGAAAGTTTGACTCCGCGTTGTTTATTGTGCCCTCGCGATCTAAAGCTACTCCTATTTCCACGCTCGGAGGGTTTTCCCCCCGCTTCCTCCGGGGATTTTAATTTAAAATCGCAACGAAAAGAGCCTCTCTCGGCCCCGGTTTGCTGATGGGGCTGGAGAGACTATTTCACTGGGTCTCGCTGGCTTAGGCACTCTTCAATTTAACAGTCCTCCAACGTACGTTAATATTAAAGATAACGTTAAATCGCCTCAAATATACACGCGTAGGCATATAAATATCTGTGGATCAGGTTTACTAAGCCGGTCATGGAATCGCTTACGCGCAGTCCCAATAAAGTTGGATTTGCAAGGCTGTATATTTTTCTACACACCCACGCAGACAAACACACGCGTATAGAAGCGTGTGGCCGGACGCGGTTGGATCCGCGTGCTATTTATTTGCGGACACATCTATCGATGCATTTAAACAGCTTCGCTATCAGTATATAAACAGTAGCTTGAGACCACATATACTTTTAAATGGGGCGGCGTGGGTGTTCTGGATAAATTCGCCTCCGCCCGCGCAAAATAAATAAGAAAGTTCTGTAAACAGCGTAAGGCGTTGCAAAATCGCAGAAGGGCCGAGCTGCTCCTTCAATTAAAAATTAATAATAATAATAATAACAATAATAACGAAATCGCCCAGCGAGCTGCTCTAAACAAGGTTAGCTTTTGGCCAAGCGGTTGCAACTCGCGTTCGCCTGGAAAGCTTCCAAAGGCCTGAAATTGGGATTAACGATCCAACTGTTCTGGTTAAGCAAGAAGCCAGAAGAAACAATTTCTTCTGAATGTATCCTCGCAGGGAGGGCTCTCCGCACGCCCGCCCCGGGGGCCCGGCCCCGGGCTCTGCGGGCTCTCCCGGGGCCGTGGCACACACGCACACG